GCAGCCCCAGCAGCAGCGCCATGGCCGGGTGGAACGCCTACATCGACAACCTCATGGTGGACGGGACCTGTCAGGACGCGGCCATCGTGGGCTATAAGGACTCGCCCTCCGTCTGGGCCGCCGTCCCCGGGAAAACCTTCGTCAACATCACGCCAGCTGAGGTTGGTGTCCTGGTTGGCAAAGGCCGGTCAAGTTTTTTCGTGAATGGGCTGACACTTGGGGGCCAGAAATGTCCTGTGATCCGGGACTCACTGCTGCAGGATGGGGAATTTACCATGGATCTTCGCACCAAGAGCACCGGCGGAGCCCCCACCTTCAACATCACTGTCACCATGACTGCCAAGATGCTAGTCCTGCTGATGGGCAAAGAAGGTGTCCACGGTGGTATGATCAACAAGAAATGTTATGAAATGGCCTCCCACCTGCGGTGTTCCCAGTACTGACCTCGTCTGTCCCTTCCCTCCACCACTCCCCACTGCTTTTGCACCCCTTCCCTTCCCTTCCCATACACACACATACACCATTTTTATTTTTGGGGCCATTACTCCACATCCCTTATTGCTGCCAAAACCACCTGGGCTGGGGGCCGGGGCTGGATGGACAGACACCTCCCCCTACCCATACCCCTCCTGTGTGTGGTTGGAAAACTTTTTTGTTTTTTGCGTTTTTTTTCTGAATAAAAAAGATTCTACTAAAAAAAAAAAGCAAATTGGATAACCTAGAAGAAATGGATAAACTCCTAGAAACATACAACTTGCTAAGACTGAATCATGAAGAAATAGCAAAATTGAGTAGACCTATAGCTATTACGGAGAATGAATCAATAATTAAAAATCTCTCAAAAAGGAAAGCACAGGACCAAATGGCTTCACTGGTGAATTCTATGAAACGTTGAAAGAGGAATTAATGACAATCCCTTCTCCAACTCTTCCAAGAAATAGAAGAGGAGGGGGCACTTCCAAAGTCATCTTCTGAGGCCAGCTTTAACTTGATACCAAAGCCAGACAAGGACGCTACAAGAAAAGAAAATTACAGGCCAATATCCCTGATGAACATAGATGTAAAAATTCTCAACAAAACACGAACAAACTAAATTTAACAGCACGTTAAAAGGATCGTACACAGGGGCTGGCCCCATGGCCAAGTGGTTAAGTTCGCGCGCTCCGCTGCAGGCGGCCCAGTGTTTCGTTGGTTCGAATCCTGGGCAAGGACATGGCACTGCTCATCAGGCCACGCTGAGGCAGCGTCCCACATGCCACAACTAGGAGAACCCACAACGAAGAATACACAACTATGTACCGGGGGGCTTTGGGGAGAAAAAGGAAAAAATAAAATCTTAAAAAAAAAAAAAGAAAAAAGGATCGTACACAATGATCAAGTGGGATTCATCTCCGGGATGCAGGGAGGGTTCAACATACAGAAATCCATAAATGTGATACATCGCATTAGTAGATTGAAATATAAAAATCATAAATCATTTCAATAGATACATTTGACAAACTACAACAACCTTTCATGATAAAAACTATTAACAAATTGGGAACAGAAGGAACGTACTCAACATAATAAAGGTCATGTTTGACAAACACACAGCTAACATCATACTCAGTTGTGAAAGGTTGAAACCTTTTCCTCTAAGATGGGGAACAAAACAAGGGTGCCCACTCTCACCACTCCTATTCAACGTGGTACTGGAAGTCCCAGCCAGAGCAATAGGCAATAAAAAGAAATAAAAGACATCCAAATCAGAAGGGAAAAAGAAAAATTGTCTCTCTTTGTAGGTGACATAATCTTATATTTGGAAAACCCTAGAGATTCTACCAAAGAAACCTGTTAAAACTAATTAATAAATTTAGTAAAGCTGCAGGGTACAAAATCAATGTATTAAATTCAGTTTCATTTCTTTACATCAATAATGAACCATCTGAAAAAGAAAGAAAGAAAACAATCCTACAATCCCATTCACAATAGCTTTAAAAACAATAAAATACTTAGGAATAAATTTAACCAAGGGGTTGAGAGACCTGTACACAGAAAACTATAAAATACTGATGAGAGAAATTGAAGAAGACACAAACAAATGGAAAGATATTCATGTTTTTGGATTGGAAGAATTACATGGTTAAGATGTCAAACGACCCAAAGTGATTTATAGATTCAATGCACTCTCTATCAAAGTTCCAATGACATTTTTCAGAGAAATAGAAAAAACAATCCTAAAATTCTTATGGAAACACAAAAGACCCCCAAAGGGCAAAGTAATCTTGAGAAAAAAGGAACAAAGCTGGCAGTCCCACCCTTCCTGATTTCAAATGTTATTACAAAGCTATAGTAATCAAAACAGTATGGTATTGCCATAAAAACAGACACACAGACCAATGGAACAGAATTGAGAGTCCAGAAATAAACCCACACGTACATGGTCAACTATTTGATTTGGTATTCGACAAGGTAGCTGAGAATACTGAATGGGGAAGGGATGATTTCTTTAATAAATGGTATCAGCAAAACTAGATATCCACACGCAAAAGAATGAAACCAGACAACTATCTTACACCACTCACAAACATTAACTCAAAATGGATCAAAGACTTAAATGTAAGATCTGAAATCATAAAACTCCTAGAAGAAAACATAGGGAAAATCTCCTTATCATTGGTTTTTACAATGAGTTTTTGGATGTGACACCAAAAGCACAAATACCAAAAGCAAAAATAAGCAAGTGGGACTACATCAAACTAAAAAGCTTCTGCACAGCAAAGGAAACGACCAACAAAATAGAAAGACAACCTACGGAATGGGAGAAAATATTTGTAAACCATATGTCTGCTTAGGGGTCAATGTCTAAAATATGCAAGGAACTTAATACAACTCAATAGCAAAAAAACCAAATAATCCAGTTAAAAAATAGGCAAAGGACCTGAATAGACAGTTTGGTAAAGAAGATATACAAATGTCCAGCAGATGCATAAAAAGGTGCTCCATATCGCTAATCAATAGGGAAATGCAAATCAAAATCACAAGGAGCTGTTACCTCACACCTGTCTGGAAGGCTATTATCCAAAAGAGGAGAGATAACAGATGCTGGTAGGGATGTGGAGGAAAGGGAACCCTTGTGCACTGTTGGTGGAAATGTAAATTGGTGCAGCCACTATGGAAAACAGTATGGAGGTTCCTCAAAAAATTAAAAATAAAACTACCATATGATCCAGCAATCTCACTTCTGGGTATATACTGGAAGGAAATGAAACCAGTGTCTTGCAGAGCTATCTGCACCCCCATGTTCATTGCAGCATTATTCACAATAGCCAAGACATGGAAACAACCTAAGCGTCCATCAACGGATGAATGGATAAAGAAGATGTGGTGCATATTTAGGATGGAATATATTTCAGCCATAAAAAAGGAAGGAAATCCTGCCATTTGTCATAACATGGTTGAAACTGGAGGGCATTATGCAAAGAGAAATAAGCTGGACAGAGAAAGACAAATCCTGTATAGTATCACTTACATGTGGAATCTAAAAAAAAAAAAAAAATCCCTAAACGTCATTTAAACACAGAAGCAGAAAGAGGAACTTCGGTCATCAGGCCCGGAGGCCGGGGTGGGGTGGGTGGAGGAAGTGGGGATTTGCTGGTCAAAGGGTACAAACTCTCATTTGTAAGATGAGTAAGTTTTGAGGATCTAATGTGCAGCATGGTGATTATAGTTAGTAATACTGTGTTGTATGTTTGAAATCTGCTGAGAGAGTAAGTCTTAAGCATTCTCACCACACACACACACACGTATGTGAGGTGATGGATGCATGAATTAACTTGATTGTAGTAATCATTTCATAAAGTGCATGGACATCAAATCATCATATTGTACTCTTTAAACATAATAAAATTTTATTGGCCAATTATACCTCAAAGCTGGAAAAAACAAAAACTTAGAATCAGGGAAAAATGTATTTTTCTCGAAATGGTCTTTTCTTTTCTATTGAGTAATAGGTATCATGTAACCCATTATATTTCTCCTTTTGCCCTGGTTGCTAGGATGCTCAGAATTAATAGATGTTTAATTACAGCAACTAATTAGTCCCCATGACTTTCGCATTTACGTTTTCAATTTTAAGGTTATTGCATTTGTATATTTCTGTAAGATGCCTCTTACATCTTAATCATTCTTTCTTCCTTCCATCCTTTCTTTTCTGAATGGGAGGCAGTGTGACTAATTAAGCCAATTGATTCATTTTGAGTCTGGACTGCATTTTAGGACCATGGATTCTACCAGTTTACTCCTATCTGGGTGCAGAAAATATCCTTTTAACTTAATATTGCTCAGATTTCAAAGGAGGCATCTCTAAGCATTGGGATCAATGCTAGAGAGGTGCCTTAGCAGAGGGTAAGACCAGGACACCAGGAGCCTGCGTCCCTGTGACTGTCCTTGTTGCCTATATGGCAGAGGGAGTGGGCTGTAGGGGTTAAAGGCAGGGATTACGGCGTTAGAGAAAGCGAAGGTTGAATTCCATCTCTGCCACTACTCACTGAAATTTTGCCTTTTTGATCCTCAGTCTTCTCATCTCCAAGGTGGGATAATAACAACATCCATCTCATGGGGTGGTTGTGAAATTTCAGTGCACTATGCAGGTGAAGCACTGGGCACAGAACCCCACACAGAGAGAGTGTCCAGCAAACCCATCTGGCCACGTGACTCGTTCTAGGTCACTTGGAGGGTGAGAAGCTCAGTGGAAATCAAATCCTTCTCTTCTGACCCAGACCAGTGCCCTGTCCACTAAACCAGGTGATGTGTTTTCTGTACCGGATAATGCACCTGCATTTTTGTTTCCAGGGGCCTTGTGGACACGGTGCCTTAGCCAGCTGGAGAGACTCCAGAGGTGGGATTTCTGGAGAGAGGTTTCAGATGTTTGTGAAACTCTCTGTGCTCAGCCTGCCAACCTGGCCCCCATCACACCTTTGCCTCACTCAGTCCTCTCCAGAAGCTCGACAGGGCCTCACCTGTGCTGTGTTTTCCAGGTGTTTCAGCCAGAGGCCACGCAGTCCTGGGAGGCTCCTGCTTTCTGCACGCCAGCATGGACTGAGGTGGGAATTCCCAGCCCCCTAGCACCGCTGTGGACGTGGGGGCATTGGGTGACTCCTGGCTTGGTGACTCACAGACTGGGGAGTATGGAAAATCTTGGAAAGGGAATGAGGGTGGGTTTTCTGGGGGGAATGACAGGAAAGAAATTACCATTTACTAAACATCCATTTTATTTCAGGCTTATACATTTTGAACTCTTACAACAATCCTGTGAGAAAGGTTTTGGTCATGCAACTTTTAAAATCATAAAGATAGAGATACAATTTTATTCTCTGAGTGGCTGGTCTGGAACTTCCTCTTGGTGGAAAATTCCTCTGTTAGGTAGAATGATTTTGATAAGCCACTTGGGGGGCTAACTTCCCCATTTCAAGTAACGACAAATAGTTACTAAGTGGCATTCTAAGGAGGTGGGTCCTCTTTATTGCCAGGCACTGACACTTGGGGCATGCAAGTTGGGGGTAGAGCAGAATTGCTCCATGTCATCAACAAGGGAAGAGCCAGTGAGACTGGGTACTGAGTGGAGGAAGGGCAAGAAAGAAGAATGCTGGTGGGGGCAGAAGAGGGGACCTTTGTGGGGAGAGAGATGTGAATGGTCTAACCCTCTCCTCCTTCAGAAGAGTTTATATCACAAACTCAGACTTCTGTGCAAACGGATTTTTAGTTTGGAGTTCAGAGACTTGCAAATTCTGTACTGTGGAGTGGGAGGTGGTGTGCAGAGTGAGAACTGAGTAGTATGAAGGCTCAGAGAGGAAACTGAGACACAGAGGGATGAAGCAACTTGTTTCATCTCACACAGCAAGCGGGTGAAGTTAGGGTGAAAACCGAGGGCAAAGGAGCCTGGGTTGTGACCGTCACTGGCAGGGCTTGGGAGTGGGAGGGGTGAGAGTGGGCACAGAAGGAAGGGAAAGAGAAAAGGGGCACAGGGGGCCGGCCTCATGGCCGAGTGGTTAAGTTCATGTACTCTCCTTCGGCGGCCCAGGGATTTCACTGATTTGCATCCTGGGGATGGACATGGCACTGCTCATTAAGCCATGCCGAGGTGGCATCCCACATGCCACAACTAGAAGGACCCACAACTAAAATATACAACCATGTGCTGGGGGGATTTGGGGAGAAAAAGCAGGAAAAAAGAAAAGATTGGGAACAGTTGTTAGCTCAGGTGCCAATCTTAAAAAACAAACAAAAAAAAAAAAAAAAAAAGAAAAGGGGGACAGGGAAGCTGGGGGTGGGGCCTTCACAAAGCAGCAGCAGAGTGGAGGGAGAAATCACTGCTCCAGGAACACCTGGTTCTAGGCTCGAGCCCCGGCTCTGTCTCCAGTGCTGTGTGAGTGTGGACTACGCACTGGTATAAGAAGAGGAAGAGGAGTGGGTGTAGTTGAGCTTTGCGGTTGGATGACTCAGGATGGCAGAGGTCAGAATCAGAGAAGTCAGGAAAGGAAACTGGTTTGGGCTGAGGAATGAGCCTACCCTCCTTTTAGGGTTCATCTGGAGAACAGAGTCCTCCTTGGAACTTTCTGGACCACCCTGACCCCAAGAATCTTCAGAGTCCACAGAGATTATGCACTACGCTCTTCCTGGGTGAGGACCATGTCTGCCATGGCACCCTGTTGCCTGGCCTGTGTGGGTCTCAGTTTCCCCATCTGTCAAATTGGAGGTGGTACACTTTCAGCACTGGAATGTTCTTGAAAAGTCATTCCTAGGCCTGCGGCTCCCTCTGCCCCATGCTGGCTCCTCCATCACTCTTTTGCAATTCCCTCTGCCCAGGGCCCCATGCAGCTACAGGCCCACCCAGGTGGGCACCTGCTGGCTGCCTCACAGCTCCACCCAGGGGGCCAACTCAGTGAGCCTCACCTTTCCAGGTGTGTCCAGATGTGCCAGGCAAGTGTCTCAGATTCTTTCTCTGTGAGTCTTGGAGGAGCCCCGGGGCCTCAGGGACCCAGTGCCCCAGCACCATGGTGGAGGTGGGGGCACTGGAGAACTCCAGGTTGGGTTTACCCAGGGAGGCATGGAGTGAGGAAACTTGGACTGTGGGAAGCAGAAAAAGAGGTTGGAGATTGCCAGAGAGCAGGGGCTGGAGCCAGGGGACTGAAACCAGGGTTCCTCATATGCAGCAGGTCTCCTGCCTTAACCAAGAGCCGTCAGGAGAAACCAACGAACCCACTGCAGCCTGCCCTGACCCCTCCAGGGGCTCTTTGGAGAAGGATGCCCTGGCACTGCTGGGCAAACGTCCTGATCTGGGGTCCAGGAAATCTGCATCTTTGCCCTGGTTCTGCCTCTACTTTCCCAGGTAAGTCACGACTCCTCCTCAGGCCTCAGCTCTCCCACGTGGGGCTCAGAGCCTTTGCCTGCCCAGGCTGCTGATGGTTCTAGCAACAGCAGGGGCAGCAACAAGAGCAACCGAGCTCCTATCACTGAGCACCTGCTAGGTGTTAGACGCTGTGCTAAACGTTCACCATGGATGACCTCTTCACCCCTCACACAGTCCAAGGAGGCAGGCACTTACTCCCCCAGCTTACAGAGGGAGAAGCAGAGGTGGAGAACAGTGAGGCCGCTTGCTCACTGTGGTGGTGCCAGAACTGGAACCTGCTGCTGCCTGATTCCTGTCTGTGCTTGTGACACAAGGCCAGGCAAGTGCCCGCTTGGGAGCTGGGCGTGAAATCCACACCCCTCCTTCTGAATGTCAGCCTCCCTCTCTGGCCCTCTGAGCACTCCCTCCCAGGTGCTGTGAGGACCACAGGAGATCCTGGGAATGCACTTTGCTAGAACAGGGGTCCAGCAAGCCCCCCCAGCAAGCCTCTTAGCTCCAGCCTAGTCTGAGCCTGGATTACCCCATTGACAGGGCTGTCCCAAGTCAGAGGAAGGTCTGGGGCGGGGGCCCAGGAGATTGACAGCGGGCAGAGGGTGATTTATGTACTCACTTGGTATGGAGGCTGCCTCTCTGTGGGCCTGGATGCTCACCCTGCTCAGGTCCATCCTCCTCTGGGTGAGGAGGGCCAGGTCCCAGGCCTGCCGCTGTCCATACAGAGCCACCAGGCGTGAGGCCACCTCTGGGCCACTGGCCTCTACTTGAGCCACAGTCTCACCGGGAGAGTGCCTGGAGTGTGCATCAGGCAGCCGAAGCTGGAACTCCTTCGGCTCCTTCTTTTCCCTTGACTCCAAGTACCAGGGCCATTGCAGCTCGGCTCCACCGGCCATCTCTGCCTGGGCTGGGGGGGCCTTGGGGATGTTCACAGGGGAGGGGTTGGTGGTGAGGGGCGGCAGGCAGGGAATGGTGGCCTCCCTTGGCCCATACCATCTCCCAAAGCAAGACTCCCATGGGGATCATTCCTCTTAGCCTGGTAAACTCCTATTCAGCATTCAGAACCCAGTTTTGTAAACCCCAGGGCATCTGCCAATAGATGGTGTTGGCAGAAGGGAGGGAAAGGGGAGTGGTAGGAAAAGCCTTAGGAAGGAGGAGCCCAGAGATAGCTGGGAGACACTGGAAGAGGTCAGGTTACTTGGGTGGGGCCAGTCAGGAGAGTGAAGGGGTGGGAACGGGAGGCTGGGTGAACGGGACTTGGGACACTCACTGTTCTGTGCTCCTCCGAGTCTTCTGTCTCCTGGGCCTGGACTCCTGGGACCAAGTCTTGAGCTGCCATGCTGACAGGAGGAGGGGTTGGGGGAGAGGCGGAGAAGACGGTGGGCTTTTAGAGCCCAGGGTTGAGCTCAGGCCTGCCGACTCCCAGGTCTCCTCAGACCTCTCCTGGCCCTGGGGCACCAATGGAGAACTGAGCTCACTCAGCCAGGGCGGGAACAAAAGTCACCCAGAGAAAACCACATGGGGGTGTGGCCAGGGGAGGGAGCGGCATCACACGCCTGGGCAGAGCAGGGACACACAGCAGGGCCCGCAGGCCACATCCGCGGGAAGGCAGGGGTGGGCTTCGGCAGGCCGCTGTGCCTGGAGCAGAGTCTTCCAGGAGCACCCCGCCAGCCCACCCCCAGGGCCTGCCCACAGAGTGGGTGCAGACTCTCCAGGCAGGTGGGTGTGGGGTCTGGCCCGCTCTCAGGATGGAGGGAGCCCCCTGAGTCTGCCAGGGCAGCTCCTTATTGCGAAAACTTACAGCCAGGTTAGGGAGCATCTTTTCCAGCTTCCCATGGTTTTCGGGGCTGCCTGAGCCCCGCTGCATATCCTGCCATGATACGAGGGGCACCCAGCTGTGTGTTCCGGGGCCCAGGGGGCTGTCTGCCTTGTGGGCAGCTCAGCGCTCAGCTAGTAAACACGCCCTGAAAGGGGGACAGCCTCTGCCTCCTCGCTGCAAAGCCAGGCCTCTGGGGAGCTGGGCAGGGCTTTCCTCCTCTTTATGGTCAACCAAGGAAGACTCCCACCAGCTGAGCTGTGTGTCAGAAATGGAGGGCAGACGGTAACTTACCCATTTCCTGTGGTGTAACAGTTTCTAGAGATGCTCTAATTTGATGTGGGCTGCAGGAGCCCAGGCCTACAGAGCTTCAGCCCACGGCTCACCTGGACACCGGGTCCTTGTGTGGCTGATCCATTTCTCTGAGCCTCAGTTTGTTCGTCCATTAAATGGGAAATCGTAGGTTTGCAAATTAAGCAAAAGCTCTGAGTAACCTGTAAAAATGTTATGTAAATGTTATTATTGTTATTATTATTTTTTTTTAATGGCCAATGAGCACCCTTGAGGACATTCTAACAGCCAGACTTACAAGGAGCGGAAAGTGCTGCCCTAAAAGGTGAGATGATCGCAGAGATTCGCTCCCTCCATGAAGGGCCCTGTGACCCTGTGTGGTGGGAGTTATGGCCTGGGAGAGGGATGTGGGTTTTTTTTCTCCTGACACCAACCGATTCTGACATCAACACTCTGGACTGAATTCATTCCTGACAGGAATCCCTGAGAGTTAGTGCAGACCCCCGGGTGGAAGGGCTCCGTCCCTCAAGACTGCTCCCCACTTCAGACACCAGTTACAAATGGCATCCCCAGGTTACCCCCTTTCTATCTGACCTAGTGACAAATTCAGAGGTCCCCACAACACCCCATCAGGTTCAATGATTTGCTAGAACGACTCACAAGACTCAGGAAAACACTTTACTTACTGGTTTATTATAAAGGATGCAACTTAGGAACAGCCAGATGGAAGAGATGCAGAGGGCAAGGGTTAGAGGTTTCAGGAATGATTGATTAAACTGTGGGCCTTGGTGACTAACTGATTCTCCAGCCCCTCTCCCTGGAGGTGGAGGTCGTGCCTTGGTCTTTCTGGCCACCAGCCCCCATTCTGGAGTTCCCTAGGGGCCTCCAGCCACCAGTTGTCTCATTGGCATACAGAAGGCTCTCTCCTGATTGCAGAGATTCCAAGGTTTTAGGAGCTGTGCGCCAGGAACTGGGGACAAGAACCAAACATTTGTTTTTTATCGTATCACAAGGGGGCTGCCAGGATTTTGGGTAACATGGGAGACCCCAGGTCTTGGAGGCCAAGGCCAGGCAGAGAGAGGCCGATGGAGCAGAACAATAGCAGAGAAAGATGTTCCTGCCTGTCCTCACACGCCTCCCCAGCCAAGCAAAATCCCTGGGGGCCCAGTCACCTGTCCCCCTTTCTCTGTGACGTGAGTGTGTGAGCCTCAGTGCCCCTATGCTATCAGACATGGAGTCCGGGAATCCTGGACTAATCCTTTCATTTTGGGCACGTCAAGAAAGACAGCGGAAGGGGGCACGGGGGCCCAGAGAAGAAAGCAGACGTACTCAGATCAAACAGCACGACAGTGGCCAAGCTGGGGCTGGGAGCCAGGTCTCTGGATACCCAGGTCAAGGATTTTTCCTCTTCTAGTACATTCTATTTAATTCTGGGTCAGCCGGGTTGGGGTGTAAGGATGTGGGATTTGGAGTCAGAAGGCCCAGCTCTGCCCTTAGCAGTTTTATAACCTTGGACAAGTCATGTAACTTGCTAGGCCTCAATGTAGTACCCACATCTGTAAAATGGGGGTAATAATGCCTACTGCACAGGGTATAAAACCAAGAAATGCATGTGAATGCAGGAAACACCGCTGCTGGAGCGCGTGGTTGGTGCTCAGTACGAGTTCACCTCTCCTTTTTTTCTTATTTCGTCTGCCAAAATCCTACTCCTTTTCTAGGGGCCACCCCAAATGGCACTTCTCCTGTGAAGCCTTTCCTGCTTTGATCTTCCATCCCACGATTCATTAAGCATATCCCAGGATGCCTTGCAGTTCAGCCATCAGTACCGGGAGGCTGGGTAGTGCCATGGAAAGTGCAAGGGGTTTTCATCTGGTGGGTCTGGGATCCAAGGCTGGCTCTGCCACCAGCTGAGTGCGACCTTGGGCAACACCTGCCTCTGTCTCTTGTCTGTAACGTGAGCTAAGTCCCAAAGTACTTGTGACAGTTAAATGAGTAAATACGAACGTGCCTAGCGCAAGACCTGGGACGCAGCAGAGGGTCAAGAGACCTCAGTTAATTTCTCCTTCTTCTTAAGATTGTGGGTTCCTTGAAGGCAGGTAACTGAGTCTTGTTTGTTTGGTAAGTAGAAAAACAGCTTAATACTTTGTATGGCATTGGTATCTAGATAATCTAGTTAATGAAGAAGTAATTTAAAATATTACTTTCATTTAATTTTAATTTCCAAGTAATATATGAATACAGTGCCATCATGAAAACTGCAAGCAATACAAGACGTTGCTCCACAGAGGTTACCACTGTTCCTAGTATGTTCTATGTCCTTCCAGATAGACAGACATGTAGACACACACACACCTTTATAAAATATACAGCTTGGTTTTGTAACCCAACGTATGTTTTGTTCTACAACATGCTTAATTTTTTTGTTGCATGATACTTGATGCTTACAGAAGAACCCTGCAGGGCACGTCGTCCCATGTGCCTTCTAGGATAATGCTGATGTCTCTTGGGATACAGGACTAGAAGCAGAACCCAGAGGTCATGCACCTTTTATATTCTAGTAAAAACCCTCAAGCCACCCTTCCAGATGACCGTGACCATATTCCTGTCCAGCTGCCAAGGGTGCATTGTTCCCCCACACCCTTGCCCACAGGCAGGAGGCGCAATGTACCTGTGCCCATCTGCCCGATGAGGAAGGAGGTAGAGCTGAACGTGGTGGGGATTTGATTGCTGATGGTGCGCTAGATGGTCAGAGCCCCAGGCTTTGTTCCCAGACTCCTCCTCTTCTCTAGCTGGGCTCACTCCCCTCGTGGCCTCATCCAGAGGCTTCTGATGCGGGGGCGGTGAGCCAAGGATTCGAAAGAAAGATTTCTTGGACTCTCAAGGTCTGGCAGTAGTGCTCTTTTATTTAGTGAATAGTATGGAATAGCATAGGGAAAGGACCCATGGGCAGGAGAGAGCTGTTGCTGCTGCAAACGTGGGTTGAGAGTAGGGCTAAATTTAAGGCATCTGTATGTGAGTTATCTCTTTACAAGACAAAGGAAAGAATATGTTAAAAAGTCAATAAATGGTATCAGTGCAGGTGGGGTCTGGTTATTGGGTGGTCCTATAACTTTAGATAAGAATTGGACCTGATTAAGTCAGGATGTCTTATGCTTCCCCGAGGATGTTGGTGGTGGGGGGAGTCAGCTACATGAGGTTACCAGACAAGCACAATAAACAAGACTTAAGTCCTTGCCGTCCCCATTAAGAGTTTCTAGAGATAAGGTCATCCCCCCTTCCTCCTGCTGCAGAGAGGGAGACACCCCCACAGGTGGAGACTTCCTTCACAAATGCAAATGTCTCTCATCAAAGAGTAAGCAAATTCCACTCCTCAGAGCCTCCTTCCTGTCTGCAGTTTTTAAAAGTAACCAGCCTAAAATAATCCTCATCACCCTCCATGGGCCGATGATTCCCACATTTGTATCTTCAGCCCTGATCATTCCTCAGAATTCCACAATCTTTATCCAGCAGCCTCTTCCACCTCCCCACTTGGGCAAATCATAGCTGTCTCCAGTTGGACACCCCAGGTTGGAGGTCCTGATTTCACCACCTCCATCCCCTCCCTCCCTCCAGCCTTCCCTGCTCACACGCTCTTCATTTCAGGAAGGGACTGCTTGGGCCCAAAACATTGGGGCCATCTTTTTTTTTTTAATTTAGTTAATTAGTTAATTTTTATTGCAATAACATTGGTTTATAATGTTATATAAATTACAGGTATATGTCATAATGTATTTCAGATTCTGTGTCGATTACCTCGTGTTCACCACCCAAAGACTACTTACCACCCACACCACAAACACGTGCCTAATGACCCCTTTCACTCTCCTCCCTACCCGCTTCTCCTCTGGGAGCCACCAATCCAATCTCTGTCTTTATGTGTTTGTCATTTTTATCTTCTACTCATGAGTGAGATCACATGGTATTTGACTTTCTCCCTCTGACTTACTTCGCTTAGCATAATACCCTCAAGGTCCATCCATGTTGTCACAAATGGCCCAGTTTCATCATTTTTTTATGGCTGACTAATAGTCCATCGTGTATAAATATCACATCTTTATCCATTCATCCCTTGATGGGCGCCTAGGTTGTTTCCAAGTCTTGGCTATTGTGAATAGTGCTGTGATGAACATGGGGGTGCATGCATCTTTACACATTCACGTTTTCATGTTCTTTGGATAAATATCCAGCAGTGGAATAGCTAGATCGTATGGTAGTTCTAGTCTTAATTTTTTGAGGAATCTCCATACTGTTTTCCATAGTGGCTGCACCAGTTTGCACTCCCACCAGCAGTGTATGAGGGTTCCCTTCTCTCCACATCCTCTCCAATACTTGTTTACTGTCTTGTT